TCGAAATGGTCATTTTTCAATACTATCTCCAAATCTCCATATTTCAACCTTTGCGTTTGTTCTGCCGTCTTTGAATTATATGCATATATGGCGTATGTAATGGTCTGTGCCTTAAGTTGTTGTGGTTGCTGTTGTTTAATCATTTATTATGATTTAAAAATAAATATTTAATCCGTTATCTCATCAGCTATTTTTTCTATTTGAAATTGCCATAATATTTCATTCATGAATTCTAAATCACAATCAAATAGGTCGGTTATTCTAAATTTAATATTTGATAAATCTTTTGAATGAAGAATAAATGAATTCCCAGATAATTGAAACGGATATGATAAAGAAAATATGTTTAAGTTGATGGATAAAATGTTTTGTATTGATGGGTAAGAGTTAGGGTCTAATGTTTGATGTGAAAATCTCATTGGGGTATTAACTTTATCACATTTGATTAAAATGAAATTGGAACCAGTGTCAGAATACAAAACATCCCCAACATCTTTTTCAAAATTTAATATCCCCAACAATGAACGAAGATGAGGAGTACAAAATTTAATTTTCAGCGGAAATTTAATAAGGTTATTTATTTCATCAAGTTCAAAAAGTTTATCAGGTTTTGATTTAAAATTTTCTTCATACCATACGATAAATGATTCATTTAAATAACTTAAAATCGTGTTAATATCCCATTTCGTTATCACATTATTTATATACATATCATACGTTTTTTCAAGGTCATCTTTAATAAATGATATATAATCTGAAGGGTCTAAAAGAATGGGATTAAATTTACCACTCACAGAAACGAGAGTAACATTATAAATTCCGCTAACTGTTAAATTTAATTCACAGCTATTATTCGAAATAATATTGATAATTGACATTTTTTTATTACGATTAAAAATATGGTAAAGCGTTATTTTCCAGTGATAAATAAAACTAGGATAAGATTACCTCAAGAATTCATAAATTCAACGAATAAGAAATTCATTCATGTTATAAATTTTAGTGTTTTCAGAAAATATGAGTCAATGTCATATTCATCATCGGGTTATATTTCACTTCATTCAAATTTAGTTCAATCAAACCCATATAATGACCATTTCATAAGATTTTCAGATGGTATTAAAAATGTAATTGATAGATTAAAATATGAACAGATTGACAATATCGAATTTTTGGAATTTTGGTTTAAATATCCCGATGGAAAAAAGATTGAAGTTAAAGATAAAGCTGATACTATAACAAAAACAATTACAATGACCGATCCGGATAGTGGGGAACAAAAAGAAATAAAACAAACGATAGAAACTGGTGAAAGGTCAATTATTATTGATTATGATTCAAAGGATTATTATTCAATAATGTTAATGCTTGAATATTAAATGGCCTTAACAAAGAATTTTTCAAGTGATATTTTATATTCATCAACTATTTTATTATAAATATCATTATATGTTAAATGAAGTTCAGTTGTTGTTCCGTTCTTTGATATCTTAATTGTGCTAATATCCTTTATAGGATTTATTTTTGCAACTGTTCCGCAGCATGAAACCTCATCATCTATGAAAAATTGAATCTTCACGTCTGAATCCTGAACATCACAAAGAATGGCAATAATGTGAATTAATGATTCATAAGGTAAAATAATTAAACCGGATTGATCAATTAAATTTATTATTGAATCATAATTATCAGTTATTATATCACGGTAAATTTTCATTAATTCAGAATTAATGTCTATTTTATATGGTGCATTGCGACTGGAATCGTAGATTCCTGGGTTCTCGATGTTTGATGAAAGAGGTGGGGGGTATGTTGGATATGTGGGAATTTCAACGGGTTCTTTACCGGGTTCAGATAAAATGATTGGGTCTCCATTCTCATGGTTTTCTTCATTCTCCTCCTTTTTCGGTAAGTCACGAGTTAATAAATTTGGTTGAGTTGCTGACCTTGTTAATTCAGGGCTAACATTAACTTTAACATTTTGAATAATTCGTGATTTATCATCATTTACGTTATAACCAACCGTAATCTCTGCTTTTGCGTTAGTGTTCTTTTGACTAGTGAAACGTCTTCTCATTTATAATCGAATAAAAAAATATATTTAAACTTTTATTTTGCTGGAACTTTTGAATCTATTATTCCCTGTATTTGTTCATGAAGTTGATTTTTAGCATTTTCATCGAAATTAATAGACCTAATATATTCATTAATTGCATTCTTATAATCATCTGATTTCTCAAATTTTCTTTTATCTGATTCCTTAACTAAATCATAAGTTAAACCTCGTTGCTGATATAATGGTTTCTTAATTAAATCTTTGAATGCTTGAGATAAAGCACCTGATGCAATTCTTGCTACTATAATTGGTTGGAATTGCTGTTTAAGTTCATCTTTAACATTTGCGAAAACTGGATCGAATAAAGCAACTTTAAAGAATTTCTTAGCTGGAATTTCAGGTCTCAAATTTGCATATTGACCATCAAACGGGTTAGAATATCGTGGTAATCCATCCGGTCCCTCTTCAACAGCATTTAATTCTTCATTGAAATAAGAATATGGATTACGACGGTATGAATTAATTGGACCATTTTCACCTTCTCCAATGTATTGTTTAACAGCTTTTCCATTTTCATCAAATTGCATAGGATAACATTCATTATATGCTTTACGTTTAGGATAATCAGATACAGTTAATTTATACCCATTTATGACTTTAATATTACCTTGACCATCAGTAACGAAAACTTCATTTATACCATCAGGTTTTCCATTTGGACCCGTAATGTCTGCTTCGTGTGCTTCCCAATTTGGACCATGACGTTTGGCATATGCTTGAGCTTCTGGTAATGTTAAAACATTTCTCATTTGTTTAACATCTTTTTGAAGACCAGCAACAATATGAACTAATTCTTTCATTCCATCAGGAACTTTCATAGTTCTATTATATACACCCCTTTTGTTTGTCCCTTGTTTTAATGGAACCTGTAGAAGATTTGCTATTTCTGTCATGTTTAATTATAAATAAAAAATAAAAATTAATTATAAAAAGTTAATCAAATTTAACACCTCCTTTATTTAAATCAACTATTATTTTTCCATGTTCTCCTAATTGCTGATATTGTGTGTAAAGTTCATTAATGCTCATTGGTAAATTCACTTGATAAAGCATAACGTTCAACTGTTGACGACTAAACCCTGAAAATGAAAAGGGTTGATAGATTTGATTTAATGTTTGTGCTTAATGCTTTGAAATATTGAACAGCCATGAAGAATGAACACTGAATGTGTCGACATTGAGTTAATAACTGATTAAAATATGATTTCTCATTAGTTATTAGTTTTGATTTCACGGCATCATCTAGAAAAATTAGTGAATGCAAAAATTCTCTATCAAAATTTGAAATAGAAAGTGTTTCAAATAATTCATCCCGTTGTTTATCAATAATTTTATCCTCTAATCCTTGCTTCTTGATTGTATTATATAATTCTTTATACATTAAAAAGTTTTTTAAATAATCTTCTGCTTCTTCTTGTGATAAATAAATAATTGGAATTTTGATTAAATGCTTTAAAGATTCAAATGTATCATCTGAAGGTGAACCTGAACGGTTGATATAAATTAACACATGTGAATGGGGGAAGTGTTAGCAATAATGATAATTTGTTTTAATATCGTTAATGTTTTACCTTTATTCTGTTTACCAATTGCTGCAGTGATTGAATTTAAGTAACATTCAGAATATGGAATTTTCATTAATTTTTCCTTAGATAGAGCATTTCTATTATCACTCAATGCTTCATTAATCATATCATCTACGTATGTATTATATACTCCCGCTAATTCTTCATAAGGAGTGGATGAATTTAAATCCATTTAATCAAAAATAAATTTATAATTTTAAACATTTCTATTCATCAATATTTCATCATATGAACTTCTATACTGCGGTGGTGTACCTGTTGGATGATATTTCAAACCTTCATCTGGTGTCCATGTCCAATATGTAGTCCTAGTAAACCAAACCTGAGGAGGATTTGTCACTTTTGAACAGTAAGTGTCATTTTCACCCTGAATGATTGGATAGGCTTTCACTTGTACTGTAACTTGTGAATTGAAAGTTTCTAATCCATCAAAGAATATACCCGCTCCATCACGTTGAACTGGAATAGTGCATAAGAATGAAGTTTGGTCTTTCCATGTTCTAGCTAATGGCGTGCCATCATCTGCATTTAGTGGTCTAGTTAATGAGTCCTCGTATTCTTCCGTGCATTCATTCACTCCATCTAAATCAGAAGCTTGAAGCATACGTGTAAAGAATATGTCACCCACTGTGGTCATCGCTTGATCGGGGAAGTTTCTGGAATCTATAGTGACCTGAAGACCTCGAAGCATTGGATTTTCTAAAACTGTTCTTTGCATTGCATTCTTCGGAAATGCTAACACAACATCTGTAACATTATGAAGAGCGTATGAGAAATCTGAGCTGATACCTTCAGGAGTGATGCAACCTCCATTTAGTGAACGAACGTCAATATGTTGAGCTGGAATCATGAATGGATCTTCCTTACTGAATAAACGTGGTATTGCTTTAACTGATTCTTCAATTAAATATCCTGGTGTAATGCATTTATCCTCTAAAACTTCCATCTTTGTGCATGAAATAATAACGTCATCAACTGTTGCGTCAGCAGATGTAGCGGCTAAGCTTGTAATTAATTTGGCAGGAAGTCCGATTTGTTGGAATTTGCGATCATATTTATAAACATGATTCATAATCTTTTCATAATTTTCATCAGTTATCTTTTCATAAACATAATTTTGTAAATCAGCAACTCTTAACGGGTCAACCTGACAAAATACTAAAGTATCCCTGAAAACATAATATTTAAGAATGATTTCACCAAATGATTTAGGATAATCATCGAACGCCTGAAATGCTAACAAATCATTTACCGGAATAATCATATCAAAAGTGATATCAACTTCTTCATTTGCTTTCTTGAAAACTTCTGAAGGGTCAATATATTTACCACATACTGAGTTATCATATTTTTGAACATTATTATATAACGAATGAACAAACTTTTTAACTTTCCTTTCTGATTTTGGTTTATATGTTGCAAATGCGAAAGATTCACGGGCGCAATCCATCTGAAGATAACCGGCATCACCTCTTTCGGTTTCTACTTCTAATTGTTTAAAGCTTTGATTTGATGATTTGTAACCAACGAATAAACGCATGCATTTAAAAGCGGCATCACATGTGAAAGCTTTATTTGAAACTAGAGTTGCTTTAACTTTGCGTTTAATATATGTGTCACCTAATTGGTTCACATCATGAGCCGGATTTGTAATTCTTAAATGAGTTTGTTTATCATCAAAATATGGAGCATCAGAGTCATAGCATGAACTTTCAAGTTCTCTATAATATCTTCTACCATCATTCTTTGCGAATATTTCATTTATCTTTTCGAATGAATGAAACACATTTCCATTAATCGGTTTGGTGTTTGGTACTAAATAGTTTGTCGTCATTTATTAATAAATAAAAAATCAAAATTAAAAGATGAAAATGAATTTTTAATTTTAATGAAATAATCAACTATGGCTGCAGGATTCTTTAAGAAACTGTGGGATAAAGTAAAAAGAGGAGCGCATAAAGTTTGGGAAACAATGAAGAAAGGAGCAAATTGGATATTTAAGAATAAAGAAGCAATTAGTGACGTTGCTGAATCAATAACGCCAAAAGCTGCCCCAATAAGAGAAATTTTAAATAAAGGAGAAAAAGTTTATCAAAGACTACAACCAATACTAAGATAAAAATAATATTTATTTATTTTTCCACTATTTACCTCCTATTTTATTAAGTATTCCTTCAGCTATTCCACCAATTGCGTTACCTGCTTGTGCTCCCATCGCCGGGTTACCTGCTTTAGTACCTAATACTCCACCTATGATAGTTCCTGCCGTTTTCGCTACTGGTGCCAAAAAGTTTGCAACAGGTTTAATAACCTTTTTATAAACCCAACCCGCAGCTTTCTTAATTCCATCCCATAATTTTTTAAAGAATCCTGCCGCCATTTCTGATTTAATATTAATTAAAAAATATATTTCATCACTTATATTCTAATTTTTATTTAATGATAAATGAAACCGATTTTAAAAATAAATGAAACAAAGGAGGAAGAAATAAATGAAAGTGGAAATGTTCAACAAAAAATAAACGTTGTTAAACCAATTACTGAAATAAAAATTTTTTCATCTGTTGAAGAATTTAATGACTATTATGCTAATAATAAAAAATTATTTGAAGAATTGACAACGTGTAAATTGAATAAAATGTTTAAAGTTGATGGATTCAAAATTTCAAAAATAAAAGGAGTGGTTAGTTTGAAATCTATTCCTCAATCAAGAATCACCTCATTAATGAAAATAGATGATTTAACAAAAAGAATAGAAATTATTGAAGAGCGAATAAATCAAATTATTGATTTCATAAATCATGACTCGTTGAGCCCGGGTCCTTAAAGCCCATCACTGAGTTCAAGGTTATATTCATCAAATATTTCATTATTAAATGCAACTTCTGCTAGTTTATTTATTTTTTCAATATGATCATTTGAAAGTCTATCGTTTAATTTTTTCTGAAGTTTTTCATTTTCTAGTTCTGAAACTTTATTTGGATGATATTTAAACCCGTTAAATTCTTTTTCCTCAGTTTTGATCATTAATTTACAAAGAACTTTTGTGGTTGGAATTCGTTTAAACCATTTATCATTAATATTTGTTATAAATTCAATATTCGGAATTAATTCCCAAATTTTTACATTTTCAATTAATTTATTATCAAATGCAAAAGCAATAGGTTTAATATTAAACTTACCTTTATAATATAAACTTTCTACATAATCATCGAAATAAACATCTACTTGTTTAACATTTTCAAGAATTGGTGAAAGAGCATCCATTAATTGATTGACGGTTACGAATCTTGATCCACTCATTTTCTTACGAAATAAAAAAATAAATTATTCAAAAATGTAAGACATGAATTTTTAAAGTTTATTTTTAAATTGAAGTTTAACCCATTCAGGATTTAAATGATGTTTAATTAATCGCGGAATATCTGACATCATCTATATATAGCTTCTTTTATAAAAGATAAATAAATTATTTTAAAATTAATGTTAATTTTTAATGTGTTTATTTTTAAAAAATTTTATTTTTTATTTCATTATGTATGGGTTGAGTGTAAATGTCTTACAATTTTGAAAATTTTTTAAATCTTGATTTATTCAAAAACGTAAGAATAAAAACCGTAAGAATCATACATTTTTTACTTCATATGTTAAAAAAAATGATACAAAATTGTTCAATAATGTATGAATTCTTACGTTTACAAAAAAAGTCACAAAACCCGTCATATATACTACTTAAAAATTATTTGATCATTATCTTCAAATCAATCCTGTGTAACATAAATATCATGTTTAGTATATATGCGCAATAGAAAATTTTAATAAAACAATAAAAACTAATAAAAAAAAGTTATTCAGGAAGAATAATCTCTTCATGAACTACAGGTTTTGGCGGACAAAGTTCTGGCAACAGAGAGATCCTGTTGTTAAGCTGCTCCACGGCTGCCTCCAAGTAGGCGCAGCAAGCCATAAATCTGTGAGGAAATCCAGTCAATCTCGACCATTTCATGATGTATTGGACAATTCCTGCTGGATCACATATAGTAGCAACTGACAAAAGACAAATCCAGATGTCAAAAATGTCATCAAATCCTGGCATTTGGGCAAAGAAGTCAGAAGTATCAGGATTTCCATGGGATGCTTCTAAAGTAACCATAATTGATAGGCTTTCGTGGACTTTGAAGATACAATATGCCATATCTAAAGGACATACCTTAAATTGAACAAGATTTAGCCATTCTACAGGTGCAGATGCAATGGAATTGCTCTTAAACAAAACTTTAGTAGGTTCGTTTCGTAATTTTGCCGGAATATACTTCTCTGGAACATTATTTTCAATTGGAGTTCTATTTGCAACGAATTCCATGGTTCTTAAGAGGCTTGGACTATGGTAAAGCTCTGGTTTGAGCAATGGATATGTTCTTCTGAACAAATAACGTAATAATAATATAACAATAACTTCTTTTCGCTCTGTATTCTCAATTCCATCGTATTTCACCATTACATCAATAGCTCGTTCAAGCCATGAGTTAACTGAATCGAAATCTGATGCAATTTTTATTGGAACAAGATTTTCTTTCGAAAGTGGAGCAAATTGAGAATCGAAGAATTCAAATAAGTCATCTTCGACTGGTATTTCTTCAAAGTATGATGTAGCTGCTTTTCTTGCTGCCATTGCTTGATCAACTGCATTTTGGCAAAAAACTTTGTTTGCGTTAATAAATACGTAGTTTGGCGGGTAGCAGTTACAAATTGCAATTTGTTCGCGGTAAGCAAGATTTATTGCTCTTGATTCTCTGAAAACTTTTTGATCGGCGTGATAAGTTTTTGCAGCAACGCTTGGTAAGGCTCTTTTTAGGTTCACATAAATTAAATGTGGATGCTGAACTAGCCATTCTGTGAATTTAAGAAGTCTTTGTAAAAGATCGCCATATTCTCGACAAGAAGCGAGATGTGTATGCTCTAATTTATTGCTAAGATGTTGTTGAGCCTCGAATAAAGCATAATATTTAATTACATCATCTCTATTTGCATTTGTAATCTGTAAATTATTTGGAACTTTCTTTTGTATCTCTTTAACTCTTTCAATTTGCTTGGCTAACAATTCATCGCTCTCTTTTATTGCGTTATTAAGAATATCAAGTGAATCTTGGAAATGTTGAATTAATTTCATTTGATAATCAACAGAAGTGTCCTTAAACTTTCCTGGCATGAAAAGGAGATACGGTTCTAGCTCATATACATCAATATCTGGTGGAATAGTCTTGTCAGATGCCAATAAAACTAAATTTTGATTTGTAGATTTCATTTTGTCACTTTCTTGTATCCAAATTGAATACAAATCTCCAATCTCCCTTATTTACATCTTGATTATCATCCACCAGATGAAATCTAACCATACATTTCATCATTTACAGGCGATTCTTTCTTATTTTCTCAGATGATGATTTTTTGCTTATTTTTTTCTAAATAATTCCGCGACTATTGAAAATATTGAGAAGAATTCAATGTAAACACGGATAAAATATAAAATATTACGTTAAAATAAGAGCTAAAATCTATGAAGCTTAATAGGACTGAACAGCTTCCTAGATCCAAAACTCCTGTAGCTTCTCCAAGACGAATATCATCTCCATCAATGACATTACCAACTGGTGTCAAAAATCTTTCCGAATTAACACCACTTCAAATTTTTCAGAAAGAATTTCATCAACTCGAAAGTATGATCACAAGACTTCGTCAGCTACATATTCCAAATGGAGTTGATCGGATTTTCACAAATTTTGCCTCTCTGAAATCTCGTTATTCAAAATTTTGCTCGAATTGTTCGGTTTTGGCAAAGAGAATTGCGTTAAGAAATACTCAAGTTGAAATTGGACCAGAAATAAAAGAAAATTGCAGACAATTTACACTTGATTTCGGTGAATTACTATTATCATTCGAAAATATCGATAATTCAATGGAAAGTTTATACACAGATCATTTGTTTATGCTAGTAAAATCCATGGCTACGAATATTAATAAATACGGAGCAATATGTTATTCTGATCATCGAACTCGGTCAATTTATCAGCAATACGAATCATTTTTAAAACAGAATCTAGATCAAGCGCAAATTGACTTACATGATTTTCTTCAAGATGCCAATTTTGATGAAATTACTCCTGATAAATCTTCGCATATTATCGAAAGATATAAACAAATTTCCAGAAAGATGGAAATCGAGATACCTCATGTTATGAACCTTCAAAGACTAGTGGTTCCTAATGGTGATTCTTTAATTAAATTATTCCATGCTGATTTTGTAGAATTTATTCCTTTATTAAACGGAATTCATAATTTTGTCCATGAAATTACAGAAATATTCGAGAAAATTCCATCTTTTTCAACTGCTTTACATAATCTTATTGAAAGTGTTGGATTGCCTACATCTCAACAGCAAACAACACCACTACCATCTCCTCGTGCAACTAGTCGAAGTATTTCGTCAATGCAAGAGTTTCCTCCTCATCCACAAGATCCTTATGATATTTTCATCCCGCAAATCTGTTTTCATCTTGGATTAGAGGAGCCAAGTGAATCTACTAATCATGAAGATACACTCCAAGATATTCTTAATACTGTTAAACAACTTCAAGATAATCATAATCTTGAAGTTCATAAACTCAACACAAGAATTGAAGCATTACAAGATATCAATCCAACATCTTCTCTTAGTGAACGTAATAAAGAAAACAGGGAGTTCAAAGAAGAATTACAAAAGAAATTTAATTTAGAAACAGAAAGAATATATAGAGACACATTGAATCAGATACAAAGTCTCAGTCCTGTAAATATTTCATCTAAATCCGATTCAACAAAAACAAAAATTGATTGTATAATTACTAGTGTCCAAGAGACGCTTGACAATCAAAAGAAAACCATATCTAAGCTTAACAATGAGATTTCCGAAAGTAAAGATATTCTTAGCTCATACAGAGAAAAACTTATTGGAAAAGATACAAATTCTAATGAACATTTACCAAATATAATAGAAAATACTATTCAAGCAATGGAAAATACAAGAAGGGCACTTGATCAGGAGCTTAAAAACATAAATCCGACTAATAATACTTTAGATGAATTTCTTCACTTGACATTAACTGAATATTGCAACTACAAACCACAAGAACTCAAGAACTTGACTAATGATAGAATGAGAGATATGGTTGGCCGTTTCATTTTAGATCAAAAAGAAGAAATTAAAAGATTAAAACAATCTCTCGAAGAATCAAATGAATTAAATAAGAACACTAACAAAGAAACCATAAATGCATTAAATCAGTTCAAGACTAAGCTTGAAGAACAACTTTCAAACACATCTAAAACTCAAAATACTTTTACTGATCTCAAAAAACGTATTTCTGAGTTATTGGAGTTACATGATACAAAAGAAAATGAAAGATTTGCTTTCAGACAATTCCTTTGTAGTTTCTTATCACAGATGCTTCATTCTCTGAAAATTCCTCAAATCAGATTCAGAGATGCATCTGAACAACAGCTTAAAGCTGTCATGTCTTCAATTCTTGAAGCTCCTGAGATACAACAGAACTTAGTTGTGTCTTCTCCTCAATCCTCTGCTCAAGGATCGAGATCTCCTTCAAGAAGAAATTCAATAATTGTTTCTCAAAAATCAAGAGCAAAAAGAGAAGAATTAACATTAACTCCTCAAGCTCCTAACTTCGCACAGACTATGACTCCAAGAAGATTAAGTAATGCAAGTGGCATTTCCGCTGCTCCATCCAATCTCAGTGCTCGTAGTTCAATAAGGAGAAGAATGTCAAATGATGAAGAACAAAAATCAGAAATTAAACAAAAAATTGCTGATATTTGTTCAATTGTTGAAGGTTCTCCTGCTGCAAGTTATTCGTATGTTCCTATGGATATGCTGATGAAGCAACTCAAACATAGTATTACTAACAAAATGGAATCGCTCAAGTCTTTGAGAAACTTTGCTGCAGATACTTGTGTTTTGATTAATTCTCCAGAAAAAGTTTCTAAAGAAGAAATCCTCAAGAAGAGCAATGATGAAATCTTTGAATTCATCTTCAAAGGCATTGAATTAATAAAGGCTACAAAGACTGATTTGCAGAAGGAAACTATCAAAGAAATCTGCAGAAATGTTGGTCCAGATGATGTCGATTTCATGTCTATTCCTGACATGGTTAATTTGACAAAAACTCAGATGAATTTGATCAAAACTACATCAAATTGTACTCAGAACATCACTAAGATACTTAAAGAAATTGATACTGAGATCACATCCAATAAATCATTCTCTCCTTCCAATGAATTATACTCGAGGTACATCAAGAAAATCGAGTTGATGATGAAAGAATTTTCTCAAATTCCTGCAGATTCAATTTTGCCCTGTGTTTTGCCTTATTTAACTGAGTCGATGTCATTGATTAATAATATAACTAAATCATTGACAGCAGCTTCTTTCGCGCCAACTTATCAACCAAATCATGAAATAATTAGAAAGATGGTTGATGATCAGCAAGAATTAAGTTTGAAATGCGAAAAATTAGAGAAGGAATTGGAAGAAATGAAGAATGAAGCGAATGTTGCAAAGAACAAGCTCACAGATGTTATGAATGCGGCAAATCTTGCGGCCAATCATAAAATTGAGATGATAAAGAAAGCAAATGCTAATGAAATTGCTCAAGCATTATCAGACTATAGAGAAGTTGAGTCATTAAGTGATGAATAATGTTTTTATAATAAAATTGTTTGTTTGATATTATTTTTATGATAGGTTTTTCAATTTAGTGATTTTGGATATGAAGAATATAGGAATGCACCTCGAATTTATGATGGAAGCTATGACCACGACTCATATTTACTGAGAACAAAATTAATTTATTCTGAAAACTTTTAATACACTTTCAGGAGTAATCAAAATCGAATAGCTTTTGATGTCTGATATCAAATACCAAATGCGAATATGCAATTTCATATGTCTCATTAATTGTTTCCAGAAATAAACGTCTTTCGAGTGACTTTAAGGATATTTCGGTAACTGCAATCTCATAAAAAATGGAAATATCTCATAACCAAATTGATGCGCTAAAGAAGTACCAAAATCTCCATCAAAATCATAAAAGTGACAAAATTTTAGAATGATTGAAAATTTTTGAGGCTAATTTTCGGTTAAATCAAGTGTCCTTTATTCGAATGAGTTTAACGAATGTAAAACTAGCCGAACACAAGCGGCATCTTCTTCCTCCATACATCCGAACTCATTTACTTGAAGAAGAGCAAAATTGGAAAGAGGCCATCTTTGCAAATTTAGAGAAATACATTCAAGAAGGTAAGCCTGATCAAATTGATTATTGGTTTAATGCTCTTGATGTATACACTTCATTTGAGACATTTACATTGACGGCAGCCGAGCTTGAAAAGATTGGATATATTTTATACAACTTTATCATTACATCTAAGCACTTAACACTCGTATCTACTGCTGCCCAACTCTTTGTTTCTATTATAGAGCCAAAACACATTAAGTTAAATCTCAAATTTGATTGGAAACCAATTTACAAAATTCTCTACGATTCTATGCTCTCGCACTCTAAGACACGATACACAAAATACCCTTCTAAATTCATTGAAACGCTTATTATCTTCATCAGATACGCCAGAAACTATTGGGAAGAATCGGCCACAGAAAAAATGCTGAATGAGTGGAAAATGATTCTCGATCCACACTACCAGACGTTTACTCTTGGAATTTCCCAGCTTACTCTTTTCTTACCTGTTAATCATAACAAACATAACATTTGGTTAACGATGTTTAGAAATCTTTGGACACTTTACAGATCAATCTCCTACGACTTTCAATTCTTCGAGCTTTTCGCCAGATTATCGCGTCAAGGCTACGAAGATGTTCCTTGGTCGGATATGTTACCATTCATTTTCAATGTTGCGGCCACGCATATGGGTATTCCAACAGCGTTACTCGAAACACCTCTTCCTCAAGCTGTTGGCATCAATCCAGAATTATATTCTCAATTTTACAAAGATTGTGCGACATTGGACGAAATATTAGCACTTTTCGCACAAATCGTTGCTCATCTACTTACAGGATCTACCAGGATGCAAACCAGATCACTTCTTTCCAGAATGTTATATATCATAGCTCCATTATGCACAGTAAACACAGATAGTGATGATAGCGATGGCGAGTTTGATGCACCAATCCTGTTCATCGATGAATTGATCAATGAATATTCAAAGAGAGTTAAATACGACCGAGATTTTCCAGAAATGGCAAAATTAGAGCCATTTAATTCGGAAGATCATGCATGGTTTGCTGAACAACTTATAAGACTTATTGTTATGAACCAATTCCACGAAAACCCTCCTTTGAATAATATTATTAAATTTGCGCAAATCTGTCCAAGCATTGTTATACCACCTGTCATACAGTCCATCCAGTATTCATTCAATTACGAGCATCTCAAGACAACAGCGATCCAGAGTTTGCTTGCAATTGCACCAGCAGTTATTTATTCAGGCGAATGTTTCCAAGATTTCATGCCATTGGTTGTCAGATCTGCAGAAGAAATTTCATTCATGGATACAACTAAATCATCTGTTGTTTTCTCATTGATTTCGTTCATTGCGACAACAGTTCCTTTAACAAAAGAACATGAACAATTTATATTTACTATTACACAACGTTGTATAGAGTTCTGTGAACACGCAATTGGAGAAGATTTCATTCCTTCGTTAGGAGAGATTTTGACAACAATGTCACGTTTGATTTCAACAATTCCACCTCACATGGCCACTAAAATTGCTCAAATGGTCAAAAACAAAGTGGAAGACATAAATGGACAAGCGCTCAGTTCCATTGTCGAAGCGTTAGATAACTACGCACCACCGATATTCGCTGAAGAAGCTCTCAAAGCAACAACACTTAAACAGTACACAATTTTGAAGGCATTGGCCAGACAAACTGACCAATTTTACTTAGAAAAAATGGAACAGTTAACCGTCACAATTCTTGGCGGTTTTATCAATACGAACAAAAAGATCAGAGATGAATCATGTGCAGTAATGAAATGGATATTAAAGAATATGTTGAATACTTATCCGATGCTTCCTAAGAAGACAGGATACGTCAATTCCAAACAGATTGATTTGAAATGGCATGTTCCGAAAGAGGAATCAATTGAAAAAGCTGACAATTTGATAAAGAGCTGTTTGTCAGCGGCCAAAGAATTGATTGAAAGCAAAAACAGAGATGAACAACTCCAAGGAATAACTATCTGCAGATCAATCATCAAAGGAACACTCGCTGCTGTCTCTTCCGATGACATTCCTCACTACAATGATAAAGAAGGAATGACAACACCCCCTCTTGAAAGATTCCATGATCAAAGAATTGCACAAAGATTCTTAGAAACCGTTGATTTGTTAGTAACCGTTATTTCCTCAGAAAAATTCAATAGAAGAGCCATTTCGCAAGCATTAAAGATTTTAGAGTATGCAAATGCACCAAGAGATCACATTGCCAGCGAAATAGAAGGCTTGACAACAGAGCATAATTACAATGCTGATACAGGACATGTTGTTTTATTGGCTCCTCAATTAGAAGCAATGACATATAATGTTGCTTATTGGAAAGGTCTTCAATTGTATTCTTTGAGACATTCTTTGATGCATGTAAGATTCCCTAAATGCACGAGAACTGTTTTAGAACACGCATTTAAATTGGCAACACATTCTTATGAGAAAATAAGAAATGCCGCAACAAGTTATATTTCTGTAACAACTGCATCGTTCCATGACAATTTCTTCGACTTGTTTGATAAGGCTATTGACTTATTAGAGAAAGTTGGAAAGTCAGAGTCCCAAGAAATCGAAGGAATCGGAAAGAAAGATGATATAATCGCTGGAATAAGTGATATAATCACTGCTTTGCCAAATTGTTACATGAACAGAAAAACATTTTACATGATAATGAGAGCAGCATTGGCTATCTGCATACAATTATCTCCTGATGAACATTTGGACTCGGCAAGATCATTAAGACAAGTAATCGTTATCTTATTGGATCAAACTGATTCTGGTGATTATTTGTTTAGTCCGAAATATTTGTCAAAAAGTGACAATATTCAAGACGATGAAATCAGTGACAAACCGTTCAGTGAGTTGAGGAAATGGTTTGCAAAAGAAGCTATCAAGAAGAACTCTTTGTATCCAAGTAGTCGCGAAACATGGAATTACGCAGCAGCTTTAGTTTGCGCAATAATTTTCGGTCAACCATTAGTTTTTGATGCAGAAATTTTGACTTTCGTTTTATCATTGATCAAAACGGATGACAGGGCTGTAAGAGAATGTGTCATTGGTATAATGCCAACACTCATTGAATCATTCATCCCAAGAATTCCTCGTCCTCAAGGTGTCAAAATTTCCGAGATAAACGAAGAAAACTATGATGATGCAGCATTTGAAGACAGAAGAATGCCAACACAAGCCAGTAAAATGCCAAAATTCCTTACAAAAGAAGAATACTTGGATATCGAAACAATCAAGAAATACTTCCCTAACGAAGATGCAGAAGAACGTGTAAAGATGCACAAAGTTCTTTTCGACACTTTGGAAGAACTCGGAGATCCATTGGAACAAATGATTACATATTTAGTTGACGCACAAATCCACAAAGATGACAATTTCTCGAAGACAAGAGTTGCATTTTGGTGTGCATTATGTAGATTCCTTGGCATCAATTTCACTCATAAACTCTTCGACAGAGCTTCTGTGATGATTAACTCACAATCTTTAGTTCCTCAACATGTTGTTGCTGCAGAAATATTTGCAGGAGTTTTGCATTCTGTTAAATCTCGTCCTTATTCATATGTAAAACAAGTTTCTGAGTTTGTTTTACCTTTCGTCACGAGATTATTAAGTACATGCGATCCTGTATATCATTCTCTTTGGTATCTTTCATTTTTCATGTGTTTCAATGAGATGGATCCAAGAAGATTGTTTTGGTTGTACGAACACATTTTGACATGTGTTCCAACAGATGACAATTTAAGGGCTGCAAGAGCTGTTTCTTTGATAACTGATATACTTCTGGATGTTGCCTTTAAGATCAAGGGATTGACAGAAAAGATATGCGCAATTGCAACTGTTCCTTTGTTCTCAAACCAGGCACTTTCTTTCGAACAAATAAGAGAAAGTTCTGTCAGAGCATTAATTCAAATGGTTTCTCTGACATTTGACGTTGATTTACGTGGCAGAAATCAGGCATCATTGGATTTACTGTCAAAATTTGTTGATACCACTGACAACGAAGATTTCATCAACAGATTTGTTGTCTCTTCCTTTGGTGTACAGAGTTTGGCAACACTTTCAATGGGAGAATTTGTTTTGTCACATTTCCAAAAATGGGCAACATATATCACAGGAAAAGATGAAGACAAAGAACAATTGGCAAGAGCAGGTTTATGTGCTGTTGCTTCTTCCAATTGGCTTGGCTCTATTTCCAAGTATCCTGTTGGTCCAAATGAAGGAAAAGAAGTTGTCAAACGAATATTGGCAGAATTTTTAAAAATTTCTCAACATCCATGGCAAATACAATGCGTTTTAATCTTGATCATTGAGTCGTTCCTAGCATCATCATACTTCCTATTTGATGATGACGAAGTCATGCCTCAAATTGTTGAAGATGTTGTCATTGTTGGATTGGGAACAAACCACACAGATGTTCAAGATGCAGCAGCACAATTGTTGACTTTCATTTGCCATCATTCGATGTCTTTTTCAGTGAGAATTTGTGACTTGATTCCAAGATTCTCAGCCATGTTACATGACCAACAGATACAAACAAGACTCGCAGGAGCTAAAGCTTTGTACGCTTTGATCAATGGAACAACAATGTTTGATGATGTCCCTCAATACGTAATTGATTGCTTCCAGATTCTTTCCGACGCAATGGAAACTGATAAAGCTGTGGAACCAACTATTTCTCAATCTTTCTCTGATTTCTGGTCAACAAATGAATCAAATCTAATGAAATCAGCTGCAGAAACACTGGCGCCATTCAGAGCTTCATTAAGGCCAAGTTATTTCTGCTAAAAAAAATATTTTTTTTAAGTAGAATATATAGAATAAAACTTGTATTGTTTTAAAAAATCAATCTATTTTTCTCATAAATATACTAATACATGTCTTCTCATTTATAGAAAAAAAATATTCAAAATAATTTTTTGTTACAGTTTGAGTAAATGGTTAAAAAATATGACATTTTAATTATAATAGATGTAACTATTATATTGTCAACACCATTACAATAAAAAAGGAAATTTATCGTGTCATTTCGGTTTTTAAGCTGGTTTTATTAAGCATTATTGATAATCAGCTGATATATATTAAATATTCTTGCTGATATTCCGAAATTTAATCGGACCAATATATGACACTTTTGTTTTGGCCTTCCAAGCTCTGAAATGAGAAATATACGCATAGGATAATTGTCAAATATTGTTAATGATGCTCTAGAGAGACAGAGTTAGAAGAATATTTCGATAGTTAATTCTTATGAGTTATTGTTCAGAAATCAGAGAAATTTCCAAAGCCCACTCAAAAATCAAGCTTAGCGTATATGAAAATATGTAGTTAATGACCATGATAGTCGTGTATATCCAATAAACAAGTTAATTCTGACTTTTGAAATAATATTTAAACCGACGAAATCGGATTTGTCTGACGAGTGAAAATTATTTTGAAATAATAATGTATGTCAATTATACATGGCACGGCGGGCGCAAAAAGTGACAAAATAGAATACCTATGGTGGCAAGACAAAGGAAACATTTTTGTAAGGCAAACATTATATCAAATACCTTTACTTTGTAATAAGAAATATAATTATCACGAAATTACAAATAAATATTGTTTAATATAATTATGATTCTTAAAATTAAGTTTCGACCAAACGTCACTTTTATATAAAAACAATCAAAAATATTTTTAATAGAAATTTTAATTGTATATATTTAATATTTACATAAATGAAGAGATATTTTTTTGTGAGGAAATCATGTCTCCTTTCAATTTTTTTATTGAGTTTTAAAAATGATAAATTTGGATTAGTTTAGTGTTTCATGAAATGATCATTTTAATTTCACTGAGATCCGTTAAAACTAATTTTTGAAATAACTCTCTCAAAATTATAAAATCAGGCCATGAAGACATTTTCATTGTACAAATAGTCTATATTAAAATTACCAATTTTTATATTTTATGAGATGTCTTGGCCGTCAAATATTTTCTATTGAAAAATTTTCTTAGTTTTTCTAAATGTTTCCAAGATCAACATGCTTAAACTGCAAGTGCAACAACGTCGTCATCGAAGGTGCCCAGCCCAGTAAGGCCTACCATACTGGCTTATCACTTGCAGAACAGCATGGTATCTTGAAAAGAGAAACTCCGATCTTCCATGTCCCAATGTACGCTGTTACTGTTTTCGATTTTGGAAGTGTTCGTTTCTCTCAAGTAAATGATCATCACATTGTGATGTCTTGCTCTTCTTGCAAGAAAACTTACCACCTTTATCAATCGAATGGCAACTTATTCATACAGAACTCAAAATACGTTGACATCAAAATTGATGAGATGAACGAAACAGCACAACAAATCGAAAACACAATACCAGCTACATTTATTCCTTTCTTTAAGCGTTTGTCATCCGATGACGAATGCGACTTCGTTGAAAATGATGACGAAAACGTCTACGACCAACCATCATCATACCATACGATCCGTGGAACAGAAGACGATGACTACGATTACATGTTTTCAGGCACAATTGTTCCGATTGTTGGCTCCTACGTTGAAAGCATGGTCCAAATCGTTCCAGAGATATACGCATAGAATTATACAATATTTAAATGAATGAATATTTGTATACATATATATATTATAGAGTAGTAAATAGAGTTTTTTGTTGTTTTTTATCACAAAATCTATTTTTTCCCTTCTTCCTTTCTGGCGGATAGATTGTAAGGGATTGATATGATGACATAGCATCATAAGTTAATTCTATCATAATATTATCTTCATTTTAAGGTAAATAACGCAATATTGCATAATCTTTTAATTTAAATTTGAGAATAAGGCACTAGATTGTGATGTACCTAAGAGATAATAACATTTTATACTGCAGAAAGCTTTTTATTGCTTAATTTTTTTATGAGATTTTTATATTATTATTTAAATGTGTTTACATAAGGATCTCGTATGGAGAAAAATCTTCTCCAACTCTAAACTTCAGTTTGGAGACACTTTACAAATTGTAAACTTCAAATTGGCAAAATATATATCTCAATATCAGTCATATTCCTAAATTTAACTCGGTTTGTGCTCAAACTTGATATATAGAAAGTACTTAACATTTAATTAAGAATTGGCAAATTATATCAAGGAATATTTTTGTAAATTCATGAATAATATAAATGAAAGTAATCAACATTGAAATGCGAAAGCAAACTCCCTTAGGCTAAACTGATTTTATTGGGAATCAATGGAAAATATTTTAGATTTAATTTTATCGATGATCTAAGAGAGATCATTAATAGACTAGATGAAAACTATTGTAGTTTTATTCGTATTATCAAATAAAGATTGTTTTAAATTGAAAATGCATAAAAATTCTGTGATATGATATTTTGTGGTAGTGACTAATATCTATAGGTGAAATATAATATAAACTCGCCATAAATGCGGAGTAAATATCCAAGAAATAAAAATTCAAATAATATATCTAAACAAACATTGGAACTATCTCTTGGGATCAGTAGAACATTGAAATCCCAAAAATATTGCCCATAGGAAGTTTCCATGAAAACGAAGGCAATGCCCGTCTCCAAAGCTTCTCCATTTCTCCATCTCCATGGAGAAATTGAAATAGTCTGTCTTCTCCACCAATTCAAAATTGAATACTTTCTCCACGTCTCCATGGAGAAAATGTGAGGTGAACTCATTGGGATAATTGACATTTCAAACTTTACAAATCTAATGGTTTGTAAAGTTAAAATCTGACATTTTGATAAGAAACTAGGGGGTGATATTTGTAAAAAATAGGGTATAATTTACATTAAAATTTACAAAATTGGAGAAGCTTATATTTTGGAATTTGGAGATCCCAGCCGTTATTTCTCAAAACGAGATCCTTAGTTTACATTATTTATTTATAAATGTATACATTTCATTATATAAATTAACTTTTAAGAGAGATTGACATAATATTAATAATAATTTATGCATTTCTCTCAATCTGGAGAAGTTTCTTATTGCACTAATTGCACACATATACTAAGATATTTAATAATCAAAACTACAGTTCTTAAGACATCAGGGTACACTTACACCCCTATGACATGGCCTTCAATTCAGATGGCGCTTCACGCCAGTTGTCAAAAATTTGAATTATACCCAGATGGGCGTAAGTGCAGCCTTAATAAAATCTCTGATCCACAAAATATATGTATGTTAGATGATATATTTATTGGAAAACCTTATCAAGGTGAGAATGCAATTTGCTAACTGCCTCATCAAAATTGAAGTTTGGGTTGGATGCATCATTAAATGCGACAATCGGCAACTTTCCGATTCCACTGTAGAAGAAACTCTGATAAACAGTCCAATATACTTGATCAGGTCCCAAACCTTGATAGGCAGAATTTGGATCATATAATGCTTCTTCATTGCAAGCAAATGTACAGGAAACCATGAACTTCTTTCCTTCTTTCTTATTAGGAATTCGAAAATATTCAGAGAGGACCAAGTCAATATATGTTTTTGCTTGACCTGGAAGACCAAGCCACCAAGTTGGTGTTTGAAGGATGATTACATCTGCCCAGTCAAGTTTTGAAACCTCATCTTTAACATCATACCCTTGATCCATATGAGTGATTTTAGTTTCATGGCCCTTTTGTTTTAAATATTTCTCAATTTCAATAGAAAGGGAGTGATTAAGGCTACCCTTCGACTGAGGTGGCTGACCATATCCAGCATTAAGGATGAGGACCTTAGTGTTTTTTAGACTCATTTTAGAAAGTGAGTTCAGAAATTGAATGAGAAATTTTCTTTGTAATTGGATTAGAAAAATTTAAGGGTGCCCTATAGACGATAGACCACCCTCAGAAAAGCACTTTTAAGGCTATTATATTGAGAACTAGAATCTGGATAATCCATTCATTCGAGTTCTAATAAGGTTAATTTTGTGATGTTTACATTATCGTTATAGGGCACCCTTAATGCTTGTGAAAAAAAATAAGAAAAAAAATTATCCAAACGATTCAATATGCATCCGATAATCATATTCTCATACCGAAACAATTTTTTTTATACATTCAATTTTGAATGAAAAAATTGGATTCCAATTCTGAAAAAAACAATCAAAACATTCAAAATTCTCATTCTGACTTTAAAAAAAAACAAACAGTCCAGCATTTCGAAGCTATTTAACTTATGGAAAAGGAATCGATACCAGGAAAATTTCCCGGTAGAAAAAAAAATTTTTGAAAGGAAAAAATTGAGAGGGAGGCCAAAATTGGAGTTATTAAAAACAAAATTTTATAGCAATTATATCTGCAATTTCTTTATATGACTGATGGAGATAGTGTCAAATGCAGCTAAATCTGGCTGAAATCATATAATTGTGAACTTTTTTCGTAATCATTGGATATTTTTTCATATTTATATATATTAGGCTGGTCTAAGAGTCAATTAGTTCCGTATTTAACAGGTATATTATAATAAGTGAAAAACTTATAGCATTTTTTGAGATATATTAATTAAACGAATAATTAAACAAAACATATACAAACAATATTTAGTTATTACAAACAAGTTTTCGGAGTTTTTCATTCATCATCAAAAGAATAATATCTCTGGCATTTTCATCATCAATAGCTTGTATTCCTTCTCTAAGTTTATCAATATTATTAGTTTTCTTAAAATGAAGAAGAACTTGAGAAATTTGAGCTTGAATTTCAACAGGTAATTGCTTGATTGAATGAGCAGAAACTGATGCTCGAGTTACAACATTTGGATTGATAATTTCGCGTTGAGTACGCGTAAATTGCGACAAATACGGATCATTTATTGGTTTGTTTTCAATTATTTCTTTTTGTAATTTTCTTTTTTCTTCGTAAAATAATTTCAATTTCTTTTCAAGAACATTCCAATTATTCAGAGTAATTACACTTGGTTTTACCCATTTCGGAAGCAATTCTATCATTCCATCATATCTATTATCAATAAGAACAACAACTGACCAATCATCTTTATGCCTAATTGCTCTGCCAATTGATTGATTAACAACTCTCATTGCACTATCAATATACCATTTCATTCCCGATCCTTTCTTTTTAGATTCATAGAATTGTTTTCTCAAAATAACTTTAGGATCTTTAGTATTAGGAAAAGGAATTCCTACAACAAAAACAGATCTAGCATAATCATCAGAAAAATCAATTCCTTCACTCATTTTTCCTCTACAAACAGCGAAAAGAGCTGCACCTTCTTCTTTAACAGCATTTTCTTTAAATTGAGAAACAATTGATGAAAAATCTCCAAATGTCCTTGGCTCAATAAATATCTTCTTTTTCGTATCAATACTATGAACATCGAACTCCGACAAACTCGAGAAACTCGGGAAGAAAACTAAAGATCCATTCGGAGACAAAGAAAATAATTTTGAAAGTGCAGATTTCAACTCAACTTTTTGTTGATTATCATTACGATTCGCGTAAGTAAAAGAAAGTCTATTTCCAAATGGTCCTTCACCACAACAAATGACAAGTAATTGCTCAGGTTTAGCAATATGTGGGTTCTCAAGAATAATTGGAAATTTGTATCCGAAATAAGAAGCGAAAGTTTCCAAAGGAGCCAAAGTTCCACTTGTCAAAATTATTGTCCTTGGTTGTAAATTAACAATTTCACTAAATGCCTTTTCTGGTGTGAAGCAGTATATATTAAAACAATGATCAGTACTCAAAGAAATAGTATAAAAATTATCAATAAGACTTTCATTTCTTTTGTTTTCGTGATACAAAAAATCAAAAAATTGCAAAATCAAATCTAAACTTTCTTGTTCATTCTGCGATAAGCAGTAAAGAACTGGGTTATCAAGGAATGCTTTCAACAATCGTTTGAAGGGTCTGATTGTTCTATAATCAATCTTGCATTTAGAAAAGAAATCAAATAAAAATTTTGCATTTTTCAAAACAAAATTTTGGTGAATTTCTTTTCGAAGTAATTCTAATTTGTCACAAACTAAATTAGAAAACTCTTTAGCAAGTTCTACAGATGTAATACCGAACGTAACAACTTCTCCAATTACATTAGACTGCTGGCGACTCAAGAAACTTCTTAAAACACAAAATTTGTTGAAAGGAACGGACATTGAAAAATATTCACAACATTGTTCTGGAAAATTATGTGCTTCATCAAATATGACAACAGACTTGTTGAAAACAACTGAGGGAAGGGAACTGCGTGAAATAGGATCTGCGATGTACGTGTAAGGAGATAAAATAAAATCTGCGGTTTTGACGTTAAATTGGGAAACAAAAAAAGGACAAACGGCTTCGTTTCTGCATATATCAACAAAACTATCGATGTCTAATAGTGAATTTATTACTTTTTTTGATACTTGTTCGATTTTGGATTCGTTATCATAAATGCACTGATTTTTCTGTCGTAATTCACGACAGAATCTGGATTGTAAGGATGATTCCATCTTCTGGATATTGTCGTGAAGACATAAATATGTTCTTGATGCAATAATTGAAGTGGTCGGTTGAAATTTGGTTCGTTTTAGTTCTTTAATAACATTTGATAGCTGTGAATGCGTTCGTGATGAATATATAATGCGACTGGATGTGTTACGTTGTTGGCGCCATGATAAAACTGAACATAATAATGACAAAGTTTTACCTGTTCCTGTTGGTGATTCTAAGATAGCATAATTTCCGGTGTCACATGATTCAATTACTTTTGACATATATGTTTCTTGAAGCGGATATGGCTTGTATGGAAAATGGATCGAAACTTCATTTATGTTTACATCCATTATGAAATTTCAATTAAAAATAATCGTCAATTTTTGTCACTTTTGATATTTCTCATAATAATAGAATACAAAATCAAATATATAAGTAAAATTTGTTCACAAACTTTTCAAAAAAAATTGCCAATTCAAGCAGAAAACCAAAAGTTAGTGAGTTACAAATCTTCTGTCATGATGAGTCATGAACTACTTCAAAAGTACCGTTGATTATTCATGGATCAACTTCCTTGTGTTTTATTTTACTAATTTACAAATAAAAATTATTTTATTTTCCAAAATTTCAAACGTACGCCTTAAGAAATTTAATCCTAAAACAACAATAAATTCTTCCTTCGTAATACAAGATCATATTTTCGATAGGCATTTTCTAAAGCTTTGGGGATTCAATATCATCTCGGAACTTTTAATTTAAACAAGCACTCACTCGTAACTTACTTTTAAAAAATATTGTATTCATTTAAATTTGAAATTTCTAATTTTTTTACCTTATCATGGTTTTAGTAATGTTATTCTTGGATACCGTGACGTTAATAATCATGTTGTTATTAGTTGTTCTGCATCCTCACAAGGGGAAGTTTTCATTCCACGAACCGTCAGGGAAATATACAGCAATGATTGGTATAAGCCTGCATTTTATAATTGTAAAAAATCAATTACTAGGGATGCGACGGTTTTACGCCATGACCGTTTAAAAATAGAATAATACGCCATTTTTGGGGCCGAATTGTTGCATGCTAAGTTCGGTCAACGATAGAAATTGAGTGGAAATTAATCGTCGAGGAAGTACGATTATGTAAAGTAAAAAAATGTTGTGGGATTTTTAATATTATATATTATTTTATAATAAAAATTTTTTGAGTCATTTTAAGAAGCACATATAATTTTTTGAATTTAAAAATTAAAGTAGTGTCAAACGAATTTATCACTTAATTTAATACTCAGATTTCTTAAAATTAAAGAAAAAAAGGTTTTCTGAGAACTTTTGAGAATGGTTTTCAAATTCCATTATTGAAAATATATAGGTATTGTATGAAATTCAAACTCTATATTTATTAAAATTCTAAATTTTTAATAAAATAACTTTTCAGAGGAATATGATTTTGAATGGTTGATTAATAAGTATAAAAATGTCTACGATTTTAAGGAGGGAATTGTTCCTTATGAGGTATACATCATAACTATATACCTCATAAGGAACAATTCCCTCTTGATAGCTGGGAAACTTTCTCTGAATAACTTATCATTTGGAGAAAAGTAGTATATATGACGGGTTGTGTGACTTTTTTTGTAAACGTAAGAATTCATACAATATTGAACGATTTTGTATCATTTTTTTTAACATATGAAGTAAAAAATGTATGATTCTTACGGTTTTTATTCTCACGTTTTTGAATAAATTAAGATTTAAAAAATTTTCAAAATTGTAAGACATTTACACTCAGCCCATACATAACGAAATAAAAAATAAAATTTTTTTAAAAAAATAAACTTTAAAAATTCATGTCTTACATTTTTGAATAAATGAGGGGGTAACCGGGTAACCGGGTAACCAGGTTAATTAACTTCTTTTTGAAAATGGTGACAACATGACATTTCGACAACAGGGGCGAAAATTCATGTCTTACATTTATGAATAATTTATTTTTTAATTCGTAAGAAAATGAGTGTCAAAACTAACGATGTTAGATATTCAGGATTCACAAATGAGGAAATAAAGGATATATTAGAGGAGGCAGGTTATGAAGTTAATAAATATTATTTAAGAAATTGTCAAAAATTCGCGGAGTTTTTAAATGAATTTGATTATGATGGAAAAATGAATAAAGATGATGTTATAAATTTCTTATATCCCACATCTAAAGAAAAAGAAAAACCTAAAGAACCTGATGTTTTCCCTGAATATTATGAAGAACGAATTAAAGATGATGAATATGATGAAATTGAAATTGAAAGACTGAAAAAAATAAGAGATGAAATAAATGAAAAAATTAAGGAATTAAGAGAAGTTGAAAAATATAATGAGAATGAAGTAGAGGGTTTAATGAATATCCCAGCTTCAGAATCAGAAGTTCAAAAATCACATGAGGAAAGATATAAAAATTACTTTTTGGAATCAACTAAAAATTTATTAGATGGTGATATTGACGAAACACTTTCAGAAGAAGGCACAAAATTTATTCATAAACATAAGCTTCAGTTTATTGACGATGGAGATTATCCATGTATATTACTTTCACCTCCCTCTTGATTCTGAAAAATTCAAAAAAGCACTGAAAAATGTAACATATGCAACAAATACGATTAAGAAAGAAGACCATGATATTTACACAAATTATTATTTAAATAAATGTACAGGTGTTGATAAAGTTTTTGATTTGTTAGATAAAATATCAAAAGAAACAATTGGTACATATAAAATTTTATGTGATTGTGGTTTCATTGTTGAAGATACCGTTGATGTTTCATATGAAAGAACAGCTCCGAAGGAGGACGAAGTGGAAAGATCTATTCCATTCGTTATTAAGAACATAAAAGATATGAAAACCTATAAACATTATATTTATTCATTCATTTCAGAAAAAATGGAAGCAACACATAAATCATCTCGTCATCATTTCATAGCTATTCACACATTCCTTTTCAAAGTTGTGAAATTAAATAAGACAGGAATTAGATTTAATGTATCAGGTTACGCATTCTTGAGTAAATTAAAATGTATTCGTCACGTTGCAGATGATAAAAATTTGTGTGTTCTTAATTCATTTTATGGACTTTAGCCCTGGACTCTCTGAGTCTCGGACTTTAAAAAAAATAAACTTTATTTTTATATTCTAATTTTTTATTCTTACATAAATGAACAAAAATGGAACAGCTAAAATGAATGATAATCAAATAAGAGCCGAAGGTAGAAGGTTATTTAAACGCTTCTATAACATTCCTGATGGTGTTAATCCTAAAACTCGTAGAAGTTATTTAAATGAAGCCATAGATGCATATGAAGGATTTGACATTTCATCAGAAAGTGAGAGGTTAGCAAGAATGTTAAACGTTAATATTGATTTCTATTATTGTGACCCTCAACCAGAAGACGTAGACATTAACAAGGTAGACTTTCCATTAGTGGAACAATAATGATAGATCCAGAATTTGAAACAGTAAATATTTTATTAACACAGAGTCCATGTGGAAAACTTCACGCTGACAGAATAACAGACGTTGAAGCACTCACAGGATATAAAGTTTGCCCCTTTTGCAAAGAAGAAGTATATTCTATCCGTGATGATCCAGAAAGGAAAAACCAAAGAAGATTTTTAAAACATTGTGAGAAATGTAAAGAAAATAATGGAAGATTAATTCAAGACGTACAATTGCAAAACACACAACAACCATATGCACCACATATCACGAAACAGAAGATATATCAATGGCTATTAGCACATAATTTGCAGGAATATTATAAACCAACAAGATATTATATTACTTTTGACTTCGAAACATTAGAGACTAAAGAAGAACTTCAACTTTCTGAATGTGCAACTTTGAACGCTTACTTAAAACCATTTATGGTATCATCAACGGTTAAATTAAACGATAAAACATTTACGAGGAATTTTTGCTTAACATCAAGTGATTCGTTCATCTCTGATTGGATTGAATTTTTATTTTCAACCTGTTCATTAGTTGCTAAATCAAATATTGAACAATATGAAGAATTATTGAAGTCCCATACATTAAATGAGAAACAGAAGGAAGCAATGAAAGAGCTTTTAGATGAAGAATTTAATAAAGTGAATATCATTGGTTTTAATTCGGGAAAGTTTGATTTAAATTTAATTCTTCGTGATTTAAATACTGCAAAATGGAAGATAAAATCAATGCTGGGTTCTTCTTCTCAATTTAAGCAAGTCATAGTAAAGAAAACAAACTGTCCATATGAATTGAGATTTATTGACATCAGAAATTATATAGCGGGTGGAACATTAGACCAATTCACTCAAGATTTCGGAAACAATAAAACACGTGTTAAATCATTCTTCCCATATCAATTCATCACATGGGAGAATTACGAAGAAGAATTATATAAAAAGGAACCATTCACTCAAGATTCATTTTATTCAGCATTAACACAAGAAACAATATCCGATTCAGATTATCAAATATATCTCAATGATGCTAAAAATTTTGAGAATAGATTAGAATATTTTATTCATTATTGTAATAAAGACGTTGAAATTATGATTGACCCAATTGATAAAATTATTGAAGAAACATTTGTTTATAAAATTGACATGCTCCATAATCTTTCATTATCATCTAATGCATCAATGATTCGTTACGCTTTAGCATATAAGAACTTCAATCCTAACGAAACATATCCAGAAGAAGAAAATGTGGAATCAAGTTTTGAATTAACGAAAAAGTATTGGAAATATAAAATTGAATCATATAAGAAACAAGATGAAAAGGCGAAAAGAGATACCAAAAACAATGTTTCAATGGATGACTATCAATATTTTCACGATTTAATCCTTTCATCTAAATGCAAAATGTGTGGTAAAGCGTTTACATATGCAAATAAACCAACATTGGATAGAATCGATAATGAGAAACCACATACTAAAGAAAATTGTCAGTTAATGTGTTGTTATTGTAATGTCGTGAAATCAAATAAAGATGAAGACATTCAACGTTTAAGAATCAATTTAAGAAATTATACATTAAAAAATAATTTATCAATGACTTTAGATTCAGTGGAAGCGTATCACATCCTCCGTAATGGAATTACTGGTGGTTTATCAAATGTTCAACATCGTGTTAATCTTAAAGGAATCACACACATTAATAAACTTTCATATAATCCAGAAACTAAAACAGTATCAAATGAGGACACTTCCAACATCATGACTCATTTCGTTGGTGTTGATTTCAATTCATTATACCCTTCATCATTTTCATCTAATCCCCATGATTTCATTCAATATACTGACCATAAAATGTATATG